CCGATTCTCTCCCCCATCTCACCGGGGCAGGGGGAGTGAGCAAGCGGCAGCGTTGTGCTTAGTTGCTGGCAGGGACTAAACCACGACAACAGTTTTCAGTATGTTTAACTTGTAGAATCAAGACAGCAAGTGCACTTACCTGATCTGCAAATCCATTTATGAGGGACAGATACGGAGCTGGGTATGTTGCAAAGATATGTGCTGTTGCATTAGGTCCTGTGACTTCAAGTGTTCCGTTGCTAAACTCCATAAAGGCATCTATAGAAAACAGCCATTACCTGGTTGCACTTCTCCATAAACACTAGGTTTTCTAGGACTAGAATATATGTGATAGGTCTGTGTGCTTCACATTCTCAACTGACACTGATCATTTTTTTCTGGGATCATAGTTAATGGATTTGAGGTGGTGCACTAATTATACCCTCCTGTCTCATCTCTCCTCCTGTGCCTTGAAGTACTTGTTTTACGTATCACAGCTTTCAAGATGGGGCTGGTTTTTCCCCTGCTTATTGCTCTAAACTCAGTGCCAGAGAGCACTTTCTGATTCTGAACGCAGTTGGATTATTCTGTAAGAGGTGCTATATTTGGCATGATGCCCCAAAAAATGCATAGCATCCTGACTGTACTGTTGTGGATGCCAAGCCACCAGGATTTACTGCTATTCCATTTGACAGCTGTGCAATGACTTCTTCTGGGAATTAACTCTCCTGAGAGACGTCCTCTTCTAAAGGAGTTTGAATTTTTCACTCTGCTTGGGCTTTACACCCAACTGGTATGCTAGTCATCCAAGACGTGAAGGGAGAGGCGAGCCCCAAAACTTCAGTTCTTGGTATATTTAAGCTAGCGTATTTTTATATATATTGTAAAGATTTAGGTATATTTTAAATACATGTGTATTTATGTAAGTATATTTAAAGCATATTTTAAATAATATAATATGACTTCTGTGTCAGAATGATTTGCTGCCTTGGCAAGCCCTGAAGTGTTAGAAATAGAAAGACACTAAGATGAAGCACTCAAAAATCTGCATGGACTGACATGAATAACGAACGCTATGCCTTTATTTCACTAGTGGATCCAGTGATGAGGTGATACTTGTGAGTAAAGAAACAGCTCCACATCTCCCATGGAAGTCATGGTGAGGATGCTTAGCTTCTCCTGAAGCTAGCAGACAAATCTATTTCTCCTTGCCCCTGTTTTTTCTAGCTTTGCTTAAGGCCACAACCTAGGTGCAGAGAATATTTAGTTGTTTACTTTGGTCAGGCTCTCTCATTTGCAGGGTCAGACTATTTTGCTGCATTTAACTATTAGGAAAAAAAGGATAAGGAAAAGAAAATTTCTCAGCTGTGAGTTACTTTTTACACCTTTAGAAAGGCTTCATATTCAGCAGCCTAGCATGTATATTCCCTCACTCTTTCAGGGGCATTGCTGAAAATGAAAGCACCTAGCTCAGGTATGTGTGTATGGAGAAGATGGAGGTGTTGAGCTCCTATGTCTCTTTTTCTACCAGTGAGTTTTCAGTGGACCTTAACGAGTACAGCACACTCCTGCAAGTTGCAGGAAGGAAAAAGTACAGAAGAGGTTTGGAAATTAATAAGAACAAGAGGAGGGCAAAGTACTTGAGCAGACATAGGGATATGAGAAAATCCTGCACTCCTGAATAACAGGAAGAAGTCTCTAATACTAACCCTAGCCCTAAGTTCCCTATCTTGGCTCCCTGTCCTGCTGCTACCCTTTGGCAGAACACAGTGAATCCCACCCCGAACTCCATGTGCTTGTTGACCTACTGCTGCATCTTGGCCACAGCCCTAATCTTGGCTGTCTGGCTTTAGGAAGACTTAGATTCAGATGGAAATCCTGTTCTGGAATCCCACAGTTTCTGAATTTTAACACTAACCTTAAAACAAACTCACTCCCCACCCTCCCATCCCCCAAATACAAACAAACCCCACCAAACCCAAAACAGTTACCACAGTTCCCAAAGATTATTCTGTTCGTGATCATTACTGGTACTGAGCACCTAGCTGATACACAATAGGCATTTCCATTTTCTTTTTTTCTCTGTTGCTCCTAGACCCAGCACTAGACATAATGCCCGTAAGAGAGAGGCTTTGGAGGAGATGGGCTGGGACAGTAGAAGCAGAGTTTTGGAGTAGGTGATTGAAGCAACTGATCCAACTCAGTGGATTCATCAAGTCGGGGGTCTGTTACTAAGTTTTTTCCCCTTTGTGGCACACCGTGTAAAAGAAACATGCCTCAAGGATAGGGGTAATCTCTTTTTTTTTTCTTTTTTTCCCTTCTAATATGTGACCCCTTTATCACTCTACCTGGAGTTCATTGCCTTGGAGAGCTACCTCTCTAGGGTGGTCTGAAGTTTAGTCAGGAGGAACTTGATCTCATATCCTGTAACCTCAATGAACGATGTTGGTGATACTTGCCTACAGGCACTTGGATCAGGTCTTTAATGTTTCTAATTTGCTTGGAAGATGAATAGCCCTATATCCTGGCTATTAAGTAATTTAAAATCCTTACTGAGAAATACATGATCTCAGAGTATCCGATTTCCCATGAATAATTTTTCTAAATTTCAAAACATTTCCTGGAGTATTAGTGTTTCAGAAAAGTTGTAGGATACCTGGAATATTTGAGTCTTTTTTTTTTTTTTTCTTCCCCCTTCAAACTCTTTATGCTTCTTCCTTTCTTCTTTACGGCTTCAGCTTCAGTCCTGCCATTAGCCCTGTGTGAACGGAGTTGTCTGCCTGCTTAGCATTCATTGAAAAATTGGGGCCTTAGAGACTGCCTGACCTCTAGTTTGTCCTGGGAGCACGTCTAAGGTGTACTCACCATAATAAATCCCAAAGACAGCTGCTGCTCCAACAAAAGCTCCCACGAGTTGTGCTAATATGTAAATTGGTAATTTGGTCCATTTTAATCTTCCAGTCACGCACATGGCTAATGAAACGGCTGGGTTTATGTGACCACCTGAAAAATAAATCATAAAAAAGTCACATGGATGACTCAGATACATGAGAATAGGTGAAGGATTTGTAAAAATGTGGGCGCTTTCAAGCATGAGACTAGTACATGCTTTTCTAGATGTTATTTTGCAATTAAACTGAAACAAGTTGGATGAAATTCAGCGGGGCAGGGCAGGGAGAGAAGCCAAGATCCACCTTCCCTCTTTGTGTCTGCAGACTGTGTTAGTTTATCAGACTGCTGTCCTGCAGCATATAAGCTATAGCTCCGTAGACAACTTTTCTAGCAAAAGCCGAAGTCTGCCCTATCTGTTGTGATGGGAGGGTCCATCATTCTGCACATATTCTCTCTCCTCAAGGGCTTTGGCTTTTTATTTTTAAGGGAGAATTGGGGCAGCAGAACATTCATTCAGTTTAGCAGGCACATATTAGCATTAAGGACTATTACTGGCTTGATAATATATCTTGAGGCAGATCTGGATACCCTGCATTAAGTCATGTTTATATCCCTGTCTTCAACCTGGGGTTACTTAGGAACTCAGTTTTCACGAACATAAAATAAAATAATGTTAGGGCTATCCGGCTTCATGCTGACTGTTGGTAAGCTATGCCTAGATGGGATCTGGGGACAGCAGTGCATAGTTCTTCATCACACGTTTTCGTCAAGCTCTTACACCCTCCAGAAAGGTCCATGATAAGAAAACTGATAAGCAGCTGTCCTGAAACAGAGAGTTCTAGTTCCTGTGGAATTTCCTTCCTTTGTATTTAGGAGTAGCTACCCCTAAACTCACACATGGAAAAGATTTCAGCAACATTGGAATTCTTTGTGACAATTTTAGTTTCTAAAATATATTTATTATTATGTCACGTGCTAGTCATTTCCCTCAACATGGGAGAAAAGTGCTGAATGCTTTTGGAAAACTTCATTATTTACAAATATGTGGTTGATACTTAAGAAACACAGATTGCCAAACAGATGAAAGAGTACTCCACAGTAAAAATACAGTAAAACCCAAGTTTTGCAAGGACATAGCGGATCCATTGCTTACCTTCCAGGTAAAGTCTCATTTCAGCCTGTATGGTGATCAGAAAAAAAAATGGCCTTTGTCTTTAATAAAATAACTAAAAGAGCATGACCTTCATCTGTCAAAGGCTAGTGATGGAGAAGGGGCCTCTATGTACAGTTTCTGTGTTTGCTTGCACTTCAGGTCAGTGAGTCGTCATCTTATGAAATCCAGGCACCTTTGATACATAATGAACTGACAAACACAGATAACAAGCTACATAAAACCTTCTTTGTATCATTTCCAAAACTCTGACCTAGTAGCACCAGTCTTGAATTAATTTTGAATTCCTCACTGTGTTTCAAATTCTTCAGCACAGAGCAAATAGATGGATGGCACCTTATTTAACAGCCCTTCATGTGAATTTTGATAAATTATTGTCTTGTCTTTTGTTCTTTACTCAGGCTGGAATGAATCATTTTCCTTTCTTTCAACACCTGATATTGTTCCCCACCTGTATATAATACAGGGTGATTATGATGGCCAGGACAAGTCATAATAATATTAGAGATGTCTGATTAACATTAAATCTGGAAAGGAAAAGTCTAGTTGAAGGCTCTCATGCTGACATAGGGGAGTTGAAAGATTCTTGGTTCCTGTGCCACTGGTAGTTTCCTGGTTTAAAAAAAAAAAAAAAAAAATCCACTTTGGACAGTGTGTTCCCCATTCTTTTGTAGTTGCAGTGATCACAGTCATGAGTTTGTTTGAAATGTTAACTTGGAAAAAATGGTGGGAAATTATCAAGACATTGAGGAAAAGGAAAAAGGAGAAAATTTTCTAGATAAAAGAGCTCAAATTTACCAAGCATGCAGACTATATATTTTATGTTACCATGAATTTAGAATTTCATAAAGAACTGATGCAAAATATTTTAGCAGTATTTAAACATGAGACTTCATGGCCAAGGAGCCACAGAATTTGCTAATAAATTCTATATAGGACCTGATATTCTAAAGTGTCCACTAGTACTCATAAGTTGGATAGTCACAGCCTATTGAAGTATCTGTTCCTATATTCTTTCACAGAGAAAATGTACTGCATGCAGAATCCTCTGTCATGGGAAAAACACAGGAAGCACAATACTACAACCAACATCTGCAACTGCTCTGCCCTGCTGGGATTGAACCCTAATCTATATAATAGAGATGAATATCCCTTAAAGATGCAAATGTAGGACAGGTTAGTGTCTTTACAGGGTTTTTTTCATGATACTGCATTAGAAGGCTTTACCTGCCTACATGTAAACCCAAACCTCTAGTTTAAAGTTGTTCAGGAAATAGGAATGTACTGCTGAATTAACTCTGTGGGGTATTAAGGAACCATTCTGGTCTGTTTCAATGACAGTAACAAGACTGGCTGTTTTGCAGTATCTTGAGCACTTTCTAATGTGAACTTAGAAACCTCCTCATGCATGGTGTCTCTGTAAAAGAATTTGTAAAAGGGAAGAGAAATGGCCACAGTAATTTCTGCTATAGCAATTATTTATAATGGCCTAGTTGTACCTAGAGATATCTGCCCAGATTGACTACCCTCTTTAGGAAGGGCAAGAAATGCATCTATGAGAACTGGAGTACAAGGACACCATTTGCTTTAAGAAGGCAATATAACCTCCACATACAACACAGAGTATTGTGTATTATAATACGCAACACTGTGTATTATTGCAACCCATCATTTTCTACTTTAAAGGGAGAATTTAAATGTTAAAAGTAGTTGTGCTAATGTTGCTGATATTAATTTGGCCAAACCGAACGGTGGAAATAGGAGACGAAGCACCATCTGATATGGCACATGTAGACACCGATTACTTAGCCCAGCTACAGACAAAAGAGAGATTCCTGACCAATAAATATTGGGGAAATGTTATAGCAGAAAGAAAGGGACGATGACACTACACTGACAGTGTATCACAGAATGTAGTACTGAATCTTTTCACTGTTTCTGCTTTCTATGATCTGCTGCTCCTGCGAATAAGCAAACAGACAGGAGCACACTTGCTACTGCCTGTCATAGGACTTGATGAGATAAATTGCACTCTGTAAGGTGAACCCTGCTCATTATACCCATTAGTGGGTGACTGCTGGATTCTGTAAGCTTTTCATGGTTATTTCCTTAAACGCAATGCCTACGCTGTCCAGGATCATCTCTATTGACAGAATTTTCAAAGCAAGACAAAGCAGATTTCTGGTTTGCACAGACCCCATTCCATAAAGGCCAGAGGTCTGCCAAGGTTTGCACACTGCAGTTCAGATCAGAATTTGTTGGAAGATTTTGTCAAACAGAAAGGATAGAAGGAAACAAGAACTCAAAAGATTTACTAGTGAAACTCTGATGCAGACTCCACTGTAAAGGTGCTTGCTATTGCTAGATACATAATCATTTATACCATGAAATGGAAGTAATTTAATAAAGTAGCCTTAAAACCATGGCAATAAATGCTACGTAAGAAGAAAAAAGTCACTTACCAGAAACCCCCCCAGACACGTACACTGCTATGGTGACTGCCATTGCAAATCCAACCGATACAGTCATGGGCCCACCATGGGCTCCTCGGCTAAGGACAGCTTGTCCCACACACCCACAACCAAGTGCCTGTTTTTTAAAAGAGAAATGTAAACCCATGAGTGTGTGTGTCCAGTGTTATTGGTTAGTTTGCAACTCCTGCTCCTGTCCAGGTATAGCTGAAAATGTTGTTAAATGTTGAAACAATGCTAGAATTTGAGATTAGTGGCATGTGTGCTATTGTTGGGTTTGCTGCAATGAACATTCACTCTTTATTTTCCCCTGTTCTGTGACCAGGAAGAATGTCTGCTAATAAGGACCTCTTTCTCCCCAGAAAACAGTTTTCAAGTACAATGATGGGATACAGATCAGAACTTGGAGCCTAAACAAGATCTCACAGCCTCTACAACAAATCTCTCCATCTGAAAGTGAAGAGGGAATTAATTCTGTGCGGCAAGTTTTCGGTTCCAGATAGTTGTTATAAGCAATGAAAAAAATCCTATAAATGTTATGAAAGATAGTTCAAAAAGCTTTTAATGTTTAATGCTGAAATTCTGGAATGATAAAACTTTCTGGTGATTGGAGTGTGTGTCACTATTATGCTGCCTTGATATCATATATTGCTCTATCAAAATATTTCACTGGCTCTGCTGTTTGAACAATTAATTGAAATGGGGATAGCCGAATAGTTCACATTGGAGTATTCTCAATGGATTTAAACTAGCTTCCATTTTATGTTGGTTCCCCTCAGAATGAAGTTCAGCAACACATTTAAATGTATGCTTAAGCTCGTGTTTATTCAATTCTAAAGCTTCTGCTCAGCTTCAAGCATATGTTTAGGTCCTGCTAAAGTCGGTAGGAAAGATTTTCAAAGGTACAAAAGGCCTTTAGTTTATGATAGACTAGCTGATCCATTTCTGCCAGGAATCAGTTTGTGTCTTTGAAAATCTCCCTTTTAAATACATGCCTAAGTGCTTTGCTGAATAAGGACCCAACACTCTATGGGAGTTATCAAATAATATCTGCAGTCTGAAAATGTTTGCTTCTCTGCAACTGTAAGTGATCTGAATCATACCATTTCTGGGATGTGACTAAATTTATCTTGAGCGACCTTAATTACCTTGATGTTAAATTGGATATATATATTATGTATATATTCCTCCTTTGATAGTACATGGGAATCTGATTTTTCTTCTTCCTATAAAATCATTCCATCTTGGCCAATGCAGTTGCTTTGGTTAATCTCCTTGCTTCGCTTTAGTGTTCTGCCATTACTGTGTGTCACCAATGATTGTATTGAAAATATTCTTCCTAACTATGCATATTTGAACACATAAAATTTAGTTATTTTAGAAATGCTTATTTTCAGTTGCAAGGCAGTTACATTCAGAAACTGCAAAGTAATGGGAAAATCTTTCCTGCCTTAGAAATAGACTGTACCAAAAAGACTTGGTGATTGAGGTTTAACAAGCAAGTCCTGCTAGAATAGATGCAATTTAAACAGGCAAAATCATACTTTTGTTTCCATTATTTCCCCAAGGGTTTTAACTAATACCAAAATGTGACAGAAAAGCTCTCAATAAAATTACGCTTTTAACCAGCTTTGCAGTGCAGACAGAGTTTCTGTTATAAAAGTGCCCTGAGACTGTGTCATATACCCAGGTGCAGTTCTTGCCTTGAGGTTATAATCATGCAAGCAAACAAAACACTGTCTGGTGCCAAAATGTTACAGCTGTCAAGTTACATAAGGGTAGGGTGGTGTTAGATAGCAGTAGTTTATTGGACTGTATAATTGAAAGTTACAAGACCTATTCCAAGCTGTAGTTAACTGCTGTGCAATGGATGACATATGCTGACGTTAGGCATTCTCTCATTGCTCTTAGTATCATATACCTATGATATTCAATGGTAATTCAAATGGTACGTACAAATGCACATACAAATATAAAACCAAACCAAAATACACTTAAGTTGTTCGCAGCTGAAATTACATGTTTTTTTAAAACTTCATATGAGACAATTCTACTCATGATGTATTTATATGTTTAATTAATATGGAAAGAATGGGTATGCTGGAATTTATGAAGTTTAAGATTAGGGCACAAGTCTAGAGGAGGTGGAATTAGCATGCTCTAGCCTTCATTTTCCAGACTTCTCAAAGGGAGTATTCCAGAAATTGCACCAAGCAAGATTTAGTGAAAGATATGGCTCAGACGTGGAGCAAGTTCAGTAGGCTGGTCTGGGGCCCTGTGTACACGGGAGTGCAGTTTGCGTTCAGGCAAGCAGTTAGATCTACAAGTACATATTTGTGTTCTGCATTGGCATAGACAAAGGTTTGCAGATTCAAAGAAAAGCTCATTCTTTTGAAAATATTACCCCTTTCTGTAAGGACGATGAAAAAAGAGAACAGGAGTAGCGGAGATGGGTATAGAAAAGGGTAAGGGACAGTAACCATATCTGTGTGTATCAACTACAAATTCATAAGAAGAGGGAAGGAAATAACAGAGGGAGGCTGATTACCAGAACTGAGGACAATCATACAGAAACACCTCTGTAGGCCTCTTGCATAATAGCTTCTGCTTTGCACATCATAGAATAGTTTTGGTTGGAAAAGATCTTTAAGATCATCAAGCCCAACTGTTACCCTAGCACTGCCACTAAACCATGTCCCTAAGCACCACATCTACGTGGCTTTTCAGTACCTCTAGGGAAGGGGACTCAACCCCTTCCCTGGGCAGCCTGTTCCAGTGCTTGACAACCCTTTTGGTGAAGAAATTTTTCATAGTACCCAATCTAAACCTCCCCTGGTGCAACTTGAGGCCATTTCCTCTTGTCCTATCGGTTGTTACTTTGCAGAAGAGACCAAGACCCACCTCGCTACAACCTCCTTTCAGGTAGTTGGAGAGAGCGATAAGGTCTCCCCCCAGCCTCCTTTTCTCCAGGCTAAACAACTCAAGTTCCCTCAGCTGCTCCTCATAAGACTTGTGCTCTAGACCCTTCACCAGCTTCATTGCCCTTCTTTGGACATGCTCTAGCACATCCATGTCTGTCCTGTAGCGAGGGGCCCAAAACTGGACACAGTATTCCAGGTGCAGCCTCACCAGTGCTGAGTACAGGGGGACAATCTGGCCACGCTATTCCTGATACAAGCCAGGATGCTTGGCCTTCTCAGCCACCTGGGCACACTGCCAGCTCATATACAGTCACAGGGAAATATGCAACTCCAGATGCTCCATTTTTGTGTTAACCAGTCTCAGAAAACTAATCGACAAACAAGAAGGCATACAAGCCAGCCTGAACACAGCTGCACTAGCTTCTTGCTCAGTGGATGTTGGGAAATGACTGCCAGCTCATGTACGATGAGTGAACACTACTGCAGGCACAGTCACTGTGTGCCCGTTCTGGGCCGGGGAACCTGGGAACTGAACCTGCAAATCTGAACCATGTTATGGTAATGTTTTCTCCATCTGCCGTCATTTTAAGAAAGAGAGAAAAAAATTTTCTCATACCTACTGTAGCTAGGTTGACATAACTGGAAACTATCGCCTAATCATGTAATTACATGAGCAGCAATTTAATACTCTGTGAATCTTTGCTTGGCTGAGTTAAGACCAACTAGATCATCAAGTTGTAACTAAATATTCGAAGCTTCTAGGCCAAGCTCAGCCATCAGCTGCACCCACACAAACTCATTGATTGAAGTACACGGAATTGATGGGAGTTTAATTTACAGTAGAATATAGCCAGATCTCTTTATCTTATCTTGTCGTATGTTACCAGGTTTTCATCTTAGTGGTTGTCTATAGCCTGATTGCTTAAATTTACTGGAGTAGCTTCATTACTGACTTTTTATTCACAAAGTAATTAGATTACTGTCATAAATAACACGTTCGGGTGTGGAATAGCTGTCTGCACATTCTCTGCCAAAAAAACTTGCTTCATAGACATTAGATCCTTCTCTTTGTCTTGGGTAACAAGGCTAATGTTAGGAAAGGAAAACAACTGGCCTCCAATGAGCATAATGTCCTGTTATTCCCTGGAAGCTTGCAGAACTTTATCCCACTCATCAGAAAGACTAAAGATAATTTTGCCTCCATCAGTGCAATTTTCAGGATTTTTGCAACTGTTTGTTACAGCATTTTTCAGTGTAACTAGGATTCTCTGCAAGATCTGAATCCAGAATTTTAGGGAATCTATTTTTCTACATGGCCTGTAAAGCTTTAGACATCTTAAAGCAGAATGCTTATATAAAAAAGGCCCCTTCTTATCAAACGGATCTAGTGCTAGTGCACATTCATAGCCATACACTCTTACTGTAACATTAAAGAAGCAGTCAAGTCTCCTGCTTTTTAGCAGCGTGGAGACAATGACGTGTGTTTTGTTGTATCTCGTACATCACCAGCTGCCAAGCTGTGGTGAGTTACGTACCTACAGCGGGGTACCATAAACATCACTGCAGGCAGAGGTTGGCCTCAATGGCCGCACAACTGATGACACTCTACACAAATACAAGAATTCAGCGTGCTACAAGGAATACAGAGTCAGCAGTTACCAAAAAAAAAAAAAAAAAAAAATCGTATTCTAATTTTAAGCTGTACACTTTCAATCAGGAAACAATAGAAAAATAGTTCAGAATTTCTATTTTAGTCAGTTTTCAGAACAGAACCATACTTAAATAACCACAGCTAATTATGAAGAATCTCCAAGGATCCCTCCACCAATTCACAATTTTCTGTCAGGATGCCTTTGTTGAGGGAAGGCAGCAACCCTGCCCCTTTCCCACGCCACGCTCCCACCTATGTTCTCCTACTGTTCCCCAGACAGGCATTTCCTGCTAGCCTGCGACTTGTCTGCTCCCCTTTTTCAGACTGGATGGACCTGCAGTACTGCTCTGGATTCTGCCGCACGTGTGGACGTTCCTGTGCAGTGCTGTGATGGGGATGGGCGCTCAGGGGCATTGCACTGCATTAGGCTCAGGCTGTGTGCTTGCAGTGAGTGTCCTGCTATCCTCAAGTTACTCGTTCCAACTCTGCAGAAGCAGAGCGGTATTGCTGGGACACCCAAGGACATAGAATCATAGAATCATAGAA